TTAAAACGGACAGTTTTACTATCCACAAAGACGATTTGGATAAAGTTTATGGATATACTTATTTGAGAAAATGGCGGGAAGGACTGCTGAAATTTGGCGATGAAATAGGCGACTGGAGACTTGAAGAGAAGCACACTATAACATTACCGACACAACCATATAAGTATAAGTTTAATGAATTACCTGAAATACCGAAGATTAAGAATATTAATATTTCTATTGAAGATGAATGGATTACTGAAAGCATTTGTAAAAAAGTTATTAAACAAAATCCAGTAATTATTAGGGGTAAATTTCCGGGCACAGGCAAGAGTTATATAGGTCAGCATTTCCAAAAGATGAATAAGAATGTATTATTTGTAGTGCCTACCAACCGACAACTACAAGAAATACAAGATAAAGGAATAGAAGCAACAACATATAACAAGTTTTTTAGCATTGCCGTTCATGAAGATGTCGGAGAGAAATTACCAATTTATGATTATTCGCCTTATGATGTAATAGTGTTTGATGAGATTTATATGTTGAATTTATACACTTTGAATAAAGTTTGGCAGTTTATGGAAAACAACACTCATATTATCAGAATTGCTACTGGCGACGTGAAACAATTAGAAGGGGTGGAATCCATGACAAACTGCCAAGACCCCGCAACATACATTGACAACTGTATAGACACAATGTTTAAATATAATACTTTCTTTAAAATATGTAAGAGAGTAGGAGCAAAGGACAGCGTAGAAGGAGAAAGAAACAGAAACATATTAAATGATATGTATAATGACTGGTGGGAAAACAACATTCCACGCAAAGAGTTTATACTTAAATACAGTTATTTAACCGATGACATCATGGCATCAGAGCATAATATCGCTTATACCAATATGAGATGCGAAAATGTAGCAAATGAGATTAGAGACAGATTAAACATAAGTGAGAAATATGTAGTGGGTGATATTTTGGTTTCCAGAACATGGATTAAACAACCAAGGGTTAATATCAATTTGAGATACAGGATTACAAAGATAGAAGATGATGAATTAGGGAAGCAAATAACATTACAGAATATAGCAAGACAAGAAGATGAGTTTATGTTGTCTGAACCTATTGTAGATAAAAACTTCATCTATCCTTACTGTGCTACTTGTCATTCAAGTCAGGGGTCAAGCGTAAAGGAAAGCATAACTATTCACGAATGGGACTTACCCATAACCAGCAGAGAGTGGATATGGACGGCATTGACTCGCTGTGTTGATTTTAGGAAAGTTAAATTTTATTGTAATCCAGACTTTGATAAGCAAATGGATAAAAATATGATAATGAGATATTGTAAAAACAAAGTAGAAAATTATAAGATACAAGACCGTCGCGCTCAAAGAGAAATAAATGAGGAAGAATACATTAGTGCTGAATGGTGTTTATCACAGTTTCGCGCCAGATGCCAAAAGTGTAATACTTCATTTAACTTTGAAACGAAGAAAGGTAAATTATGTAGCAATTTTACTTGTCAGCGCCTTGATAATTCAATCGCTCACCATATAGATAATTCAACTTCATTCTGTGTATATTGTAATGTTTCAGCTCATTAAGATTTTAATATTTTTTCATAATAAAATCTTAGTTTTAGACTAAAAAAGGTATAAAGAAATAATACCTATATATAGTAGAGAGTAATGAAGGAACAAGAAGTAAATAATTATATCAATAAGACATGCTATGACTGTTGCCACTTCAAAAAAGAACATATGGAATTATACAAAATGAATTTACCTAATGGAATAGTTAATAATATTATTGATTATGCTTTGGGTGAAGAAGATGAATGTAAAATTTGTCAGGAATGGAGAGATAATCAAGAATTAATCAGATGTCATTTAAATCTGAAAAGAAGACATAATAGAAATGTTGAAGACGACATTATAATATTTTTAACTGTGTATGAAAGACCACCTTATAGTTATGTTAGAATATTTCTCAAATCAGTAAGAAAAAGTATGAACTGATTAACCACATTTTATGGATATTGTTGCATCGTAGAAGAGAAGGGTGTGAATTAAAAGAAGACATTAAATCAGAAATTGAAAGCAAAAAGTTTAATGTGAAAAATACCGTGAGAGATATCAACATTATTTTTGAACTGATGCATGACAGACGTAAGATATATACACAATTTAATAATCATCAATTAACTTATTATCCTGAACTTAAATTATAAATAATATTATCAATATAATAAATCTTAATTTATTATATGGATAAACAAAAAATAATTAGTGATATTTATTATGATAAAAGCGGTTATGGCAGTAAAGGAATAATGTTGAAAGATGCCAGACAGAAAGATAAAACTATTGCTGCGGACGATGTAAATGAATTCTTTAAAAATAATGTTGAGGAAAAAAGGAAAATGCGAGGGCAGAATAGTTTTGTTGCTCCACACTCATTTTGGGAATTCCAGTTGGATTTGTTTTTTATTTCTACAAAAAAGATTTGGAAAATCAAAAGTTTAGAATTGGACTAATATTGATTGATCTATTTAGTAAATATGCTACTGTAATACCTATTGCAAGTAAGCAACCGCCAGACGTATTAGCAGGAATAATGGAAGGCATTAAGAAAATGGGCGGAAAACCCAAAATGATATACAGCGACGAAGAAGGCAGTTTGTTTAGTTCTACCATTACAGATTATCTTGATGAGGAAAAAATTGAATTACACACCACGAGAGGCCACCCTGCTTTTGGAGAAAGATTTATTAGAACCTACAAAGATATGTTATTTAAAAGAGTTGAGGCGGATGAGAAGAGAGGAAAGCAAGACATCCAATGGGTTGATTACAATTTAGAAATATTATTGACATATAATAATAAATTAGCAAGTTCCGTTACGAAAATGACACCATTAGAAGCAAGGAAGAAAAAGAATGAGTTTGAAGTGAAACTGAATATATCAATGAATGCCAGAAAAACCCGTGTGTATCCTGATTTAGATGTAGGGGACAAAGTCAAGATAATGAGAAAGAAAGCGATTAGCGAGAAAGAGAGAACCAGTCATTATTTGAAGACTATTCACACCGTAACTAAAACAGAAACTAAGTTAGGACAAAAATATTATTCTGTTAGTGATTTTCCCAAACCTCTATTGCGACATGAAATGTTGAAATTATAGTTTTAGACTAAAAAGGTTTAAAGAAATAATACCTATATATATTAGTGATAAATATGGTTGTATTTACAGAGGTTGAACAGGAAGAAATTATCAATGAATTCTTAACTTATAGTGAACAACAGGAAACTAAAATAATTGATGAGTTTTTGAGTGATAATGATAATACAACAGAAGAAGAAGATGACAGTTACGGATTTGTAACTGAAAAACGATTAGAAAAGGAAATTACAGAACATCATAAAATGATAAACAATATTGAAACGAAAAATTACATCCCATTAAAACATGCAATGATAAAATATATGGAACAAACCAACAACCAACAAATAATTAGAAATGCTGGAAACTATTCATACAGTCAAAATACATCCAATTGGTGGTATTTAAGCTTTAGAGAATTTGAATGGTTAATCGAAATGAAAAAGAATGGCAACAGATGGGTTTGTAGCAAAGAAAAATTAGATGCAGTTGATTTTAACATATTGTATAAATATAGAACGTTTAGAAGAAGATTTGATTAATTATAAAAAAACGAATGAACCAGACCTTGCCCATAATATGTCTACAAAATTTGTGATAAAATTTATTGTAAAATAATTTATCATAATTTTTGGAATGATATTTTTTGAAAAAATGTAAAACTATATTTTCTAAAATTTATATTTTAAAATTTATATTTTAAAATATGGATGAACTTACTAGGAAATTACCTGCTTTGAAATGTTGATTTTTGAAATGTGCTGTTTGGGGTGCTGTTTTAAAATGTTGCTAAAGTGTGGGGAGGGGGTCCTAGGTTTTTTGTTTGGTCGGTTGTTTGGTTTTTTGTTTGGTTTGTTGTTTGGTGGTTTTTTTCTATGAGGGTCTTACCCCAGAGCAAAAATATTATTTGTGTCGTGAAACCTCACGAACTCGGCAGAGCTTCGTGTCTAAAAACCATTTAAAGGGTAGATTGCTTATTATAGTAGAAGATTATGGAAAGAACATATTGCGCGTGTTGTGGATGTTATAAGGCAAGAGATTTATTTTCAGGAAGTTGTAAAACTTGTGATAGATGCCGTGAAAAGCAGAAAAAGAAAGACCAAAGAAAGAGACTGAAAAACGCGATGGATAAGCAACAAAAAGAAATAGAAGAAGGAGAAAAACAATATTGTTCACATTGTAAAATGAATAGAAAGATTGGGTTATTTTCGGAAAATCATAAAACTTGTGATTTGTGTAGAGAAAAAATGAAAATCTACTCACAGACATGGAGAGATAATCATAAGGAAGAGATAAGCGAAATAAATAAAGACTATGGCATGAAAATATTTGTGTGCTCTGTTTGTGATTGTGAGGTTAGATTGAAACATAAAGCGAGGCATGAAAAAACAAAGAAGCACATTGATAATTTAAAAAAGAATGAGGTTGAGGATAATTGAAATGGTTTAAGTTTGTCTTGAAAAATGAATAACTTGAAACATTTTATTAATTATTATATGGGTTTTGGTAAGTGGATTGATAAATTATGTTGGGCGGGATTTGGAAAAGTGGGTATGTTGCTTGTTGGTAAGCTACTGCTTGCTGTTAGGGGGGGGGTTATCCTCTATCCTCTAGTAAGTATCCGACACGCCGAACAATGTCGGCGGACTTGTCACGGGAAGGTACCCCAACCACTTCCGGTCCGCTGATTTTTCCCGTGGCTATGTGGGCGTGTTTGTTCTTTTCAGGGGACCCACAAAATTGTGGTTTCCTTTTTGGCTTCCCTTTAAAACCACAAACAAAAGGTACCCTCCACAAAAAGGCACACGCATGTTTCGGGTAGTCATGTCCTTGCCACGGCACGCGCTGCTCAGGCCTGGGTCTTGGTACGGGACAAGGGCGACAAGTCCATGCCTGCGCAGGCGGCCGCGGGTTGATGGCCGACCCGGTCAGATGGAACATCTACACCCGGAAAGAATGGCGTCTCCTTGGGAGATCCTGTGCCGAATCGCAAAGAGGGAGGCTTTGTTGCATTGTTGGAGCTTCATCATAGTCCTTTCAGCGTTTGTTGGTTGGTCCCGCCCCATGTTGACCGGGTTGAACATGTTTCGAAGCAGCGTCCATGTACAGCTGCTTCCCTCCCGAGGAACAGTTATCCCCGTCTGTTTCCTTCGGTGCTCGAAAGCTCGCGGCTTTTCGGGTACCTTCATGCGATCTGTTGGGTTAGTCAGCTGGCATCCAGGAAATCGATCTGGGAAGATGTTGCCAACCGCAGATGGTGCGGGCTGCCGGGGCTCCCTCTGAACATGGCAACGAGGACCTCAGCAGATAGCCAGGATGCATAAACTTGGTGGCTCCCAGCCATCCTTGTAGCTTTTTAGGGTTTTAAGTACGAGTGCTCGTTTCTGTCTAAAAGGGCAAGGGATCTGAGGGCAGCCTGGTGAGCATCCCCTGTTTCCCACGTTCAATGCCGATTCTACCAAAGCGAAGCGCAGGTCACGCTTTGGGATCCCCGGACCGCTGCCAAGATCCGGGCGGATGAGCCTCGTTACCTGTCGCCCGTGGCTGAGTCGAAAACCCAAGGGCTTGACAGATATCGAATGGTTTGGAGATTGGGCGCCGGTATGACCAGGCTTTCGGTCTGACGCTAGCCAGACTTTCAGCGGCTGGATGGCAGGACCCAGCATGGCCATCGTGACGCATTTGCGTCGAGCAGGTTGGAGTCCAGAAGAGAACTTTGTGTTATTTGTCGCCGGCTACTCTGAGCTAGCTGGTGTCGAATCTGAAAGGCAAGGAGGTCAGTTGGGTTTCCTTTAGGTTTCCTCTTGAAAACCATTTTTTCCCAGCGCCGCAGAACCCTATGGGGCAGGAGGAGACTGAGATGCTTTGCCAGCCATGACTCGTCTGCCTAGCTGACTTCTCAGGTCTTTCAGCTCTGCTGGGCGCTCAATGGGAAAGGGCCAGGGTTTGGGCCGCCTTCCAGTTCCCATGCCCGATGGGAAACATGGAATCCTGGAAGCATGTCCTCCACCGGGAAAAGGACGGCTTCAGCTCTTTGGCGCACATGAAAGAACGACTGGAAGCAGCAATTGGTTGCCTGTTTGGAATGATCAAGATTGGCTTGAAGCACCGCTTGCCATGGCCTCCCATTCAGAACTTTGAACAGGTGGCCGGCCCAAGCCAACCGCTAGGCAGAAAGCTCAAGACCGGCACGTCAGGATTCCCCGGATTCAGTTTAGAACAGTGCGCCAGATGAGGTTCGAAGGCATGCCACTTTCTGAAAAGGACATATATGGTAGACCATGTATAGGGCCCCAATTATTTCTTGCCGGACCGGAATTTGCAGAAGTAACACAATCCACCGGAACACCCAATCATAGATCGAACCCGAGTCAATCGATGAGTCAATCATAGTTTCGAGGCTGACTTAAGCCTTAAGCCGAGGGAGGGGCAGTCCATCGGAACGGTTTTTTCCCCCCCCCCCCCACCGTGAGCTTCCATTCGCTGAAATGAATATGTTGATTTTCCCTTTCGGTTTTAAAGGGAATGGATTTCACTGGACATATTTTCCAGGGGGAAGCAAATGGAAGTGAGGTAGACACGGTCTTCAACCATCGCCGAGTGCTGGCCTCGCCCTCACGGGACGGAGCGAGCGGAGCCCGGAAGGAGCAACCCGCAGTTAAAATCGTGGCCCTTTCCCATGCGTTTTCACAGGTAATGGGGCAGCTTTCCGGAAACTGGAAGAGGGAGGGGATGTTGGCCCTGGACAGGTGGCAGGGCATACAGTTTGTCTCCACGCTTTCCCAGACATTTGCGGTTTCCCTCAGTACCAAATCGAAGAGAGGGTGGGCACCCTCAAAAAAGATACGCTACCGTGAATGGACGAAATCCTGCGCCACGTTGAAACCTTGCAAACCCACTGTTTCTTGGTATTTACAAGGGTATCATCAGACACCAAGGTCTCTGAACGGTGGTGCGAACTGGATTGTGCAACCATGAACAGTAGGATACATGAAAGGGTGCTGTTTAACTGGCATGATCTCGTGGAAAAAATGATCCAAAACCGCAGGGGATGGTTTCAGCCCAATATTTCGCAACCATCCACAGTAGGATACATGGATAGGCTCCCCGCCCTGTTACCAACATTTTTGGCGGAGGGTTCCCCTACTAAAAATAGACCACAGGAAAAACACATCGGGTACCAACGTGGCTCGCTCTTCGCCATGACTGTGTGGCACGCGAACTCGATGATCGCCAAGTCCCGGCCGCTTGCTTCTGTGGAGGCCAAGCAGTACAAGCGCATGAACGGGGACCTGAGGCTGGGCTTCGCCTCGAACGACTTCTCAGGAGCGAAGTGGAAGAACCTGACGGGGACCGCCCGGTGGAGCGACGAGATGATCACGCTCGACTACTCTGGGGGGTGTGCAAGGGCTTCCAGGGCCGGCTGGACGAGGTGGAAGCCTGGCAGGCCCAGCGGGGGCCGAAGAACCCACAAGCTCCAGAGAGGAAGTGAAGGCGTTTCTACCGCGGCGGGCATGAAGAAGGTGTTTCAAGCCCTGGGGGCGCCGGCCAACCAACGTGTACTCCGCTGTCTCGGCCATTTCGGGGTCGGAGTAGGCGAGGTTCGGCGCCACCTGCGCGCGCTTCTCCGCGCTCCGCCCGATAGCAAAGAAATCTGTCGTCTTCCTTGAGACGCATAATCTCCTTCTCAAGGTGCGACAGCGAGTCGTCGGGCCGCTGGGCCATCAGAGCGGCCGCAAGGCAGGGAGCGTCCTCGCCCGCCCACGCAGCGGCCATGCCTGCACGCAGCGGAAGGCCATCGAGGACGTCATTTTTTTGAACAGCTGCGGGGTCCAGAATTAATCAACAAATCTGGCGGACCTGGGTGCTGACCCCTCGGTTCATTCCACGACCGGCCGAAGCTCGGCTCGACTCCGAGGTTTGCCACCAGGAGGATTTGGCCCAGGTTTCCTACGACTTCAGCGCCCTGCCGGCGCCGGTTTTTTTCCAGACGGAAGCAGTGGCCGGGGGACAAAGGGCACCCAAATGGCCATGGGTCAAAATCCCGGTTAGCCCCCAGTGAACATCCCAATCCCCATTAAAACAGGTTCTAAAATGGGTGGTGAATTCACCTACCCCAAAATGGTACCATTGGTTTGGTTTTCAGTCCCAAGCCACCAGGGGAAGACGGGGCAAATGAGATTTTTCTTAGTGCAGAAACAATGGGCTGTATATCGTGTGCCACGGGGTGCTTTTGGCAGATATCGGGCAGTACGGCGAACCTTCATTTGGTTTGGATTATGACCCATGTCACCGACCTGAATTCAGGCATCCAGAAGCCAGTGACCATCATGAGGCAGATTCATGAGGCAGATTTATGGCTTATGGCCAAAGACTGAGCATCCTTTTGCCTATTTCAGGGCGAGCTCACTGATTTGGGGGCAACAAGCGCCCATGAGTTTGAAGCTTTGGAAGATTCTGGCATGATCCACTGTAGCAAAGGGGATGACACGGGTGACACTCACCAAGTTACCATCAGAATGGGGGCATGGCAGTAGGTTAGTGACTGTGGCTCATGTCTTACAGAAGGGGACCCACTCACAATTTTGGGGCAAGAATAGTAGACCTCCCCGAAAATCCCATCATAAAGATGGGATATTGCCCCAAAGATACGGGGAATGCCTTCCGTTTTTCTTTTCCTATGGACCTCGGGTTTCAGCAATCCCAAAATGGGTAGTTCAAGAGCTCGCCAGGACCCCCGGTCCTGGCTCCCGGCGCCGCTGGAGCAGGAGGCGTCGGGCTTTGAGGTGAGGCTGTGGTCAAAGCCGTTTTGGGGTAGGTGAATTCACCACCCATAGTCTATAGTGGGGGTTGGGATGTTCACTGGGGGCTAACCGGGCTGTTGACCCATGGCCACCAATCCAAACCACCAAGTGGAGGGAGGCTGATTGTGAGTGGGCTGCAAAAAAGCCAAGCTTTCAAGAAGATACCAAGGCCATCGGCCTTTTTTTAGGGTCATACTATCGAAACCATGCATACAAGGCCAGTGACCTTAGGGTCACCGGGCAATCGGCACCAACATGAAGATTGGCTGTTTCCTTCCAAAGTTGCTTCATGGGTAACGAACGTCGATTGCCCTCTCCGGATGCGCCATGTCAATTGCCCAGTCCTCTCAAGCATGGTAGGGTGTTCCACCAAGCGTCCGCAGAGCACCCTTCTCCTGTATAGCCAACAAGCGCAAGATCAGCTGGCAACATGATTGCACGAAACACCTTGAAGGCTTTCAGAGGCGTGGATCATCATATGGAGCTTTTGTTTTAGGGACCCCCGGGGGCCCCCCAACAAGAAATAAATAAAGAGAGGTGGTTTGCTTTGGTGTCCTTTTAAACCAAGCCCAAACATGGTGGCATCCAACAAGAAGAAGATCCCCACGGTTTCAGCGTTTGATTTGATGTCTCCTCGGCAGCCGGCAGGTCTTGGATGTCCTGCAACTCTACCCTTGCAAGAGCTGCCTGAGTCCCAGCTTGTCAACTTTTGCCAGCGGTTTTGGCTGCCGAAACCCAGAGAAACGGAGAACTCACGCCCTGAGTTCTTGGAGAGTTACTTTTGAAGCTGGGCCATTTGAGTGGCAACGAACAAGTTTGGACAATTTTGGGCCAATCCACTCGATCGGACGTGAGGAAAGGGAAGCCAAAGGCAAGGTGCACCCTCATGTACCCAGTGTGTCTTCAGGCCTCGCTTCGCAGAGGCATGTCTCTCGCTCTCTCTCGCTCTCTATTTTGTTCACCGTCCCATGAACTACCTATTGTGACTTTGGCAAAACTCATCTTCGGGAAAGGACGGTTGACTTAACATCTAAATCAAGGTTAAGCCTTGGTCGACATTCAAAAATGAATTATTTCCTTCATGAGCTCTATCAAAATTCTGACTGCATATGTATTCAAATGTCATTGAACTGAGCTCGCAAATTAGTTTGCAATTTGACATAGTAACTGTTTTGAATTATTCCCCTGTTAGGTTTTATTCGTGGATCTTATTGAAGATATATATATATATAGGAAATAGTTCAATGGAACTATTTCCTTATTACTTCTTGGACTCTATGTATACATGTCAAATGAACATCATATGCGAAAAGGAATTCGCCTTTAGATTCTCATTAAACATAGAACATTTTCGCTATTTATTTGAATCCAACTTACACTTCAGTTATGAATCCAACGTATAAGGAGCCTTAGGAGCAGGGAGCCTTGTAAAGACTGACATTCAAAATAATATGTACTCTTCATTTTTTTTTGTGATGCACTCCAAAAACAAGACAATGCTGAGGCAAACTAAGCCCAAAAGCAAACTCTGAGGTTTTGCCAAGCATTGCGTTGTTGTTGGTATTGCGTTTTGAGGAGTAAACAACAAAACTCTACGGCTTGTTTTTTTTTTTGGGAATGAAGACATTTTATGTAGGGCTGATATGCTCCAAAAACCGAAGAACCATTGTTTGTTGTTTTACTCCAAACCAAAAGAAAGCTGATGAAGAACCGAAACAAGCAAACACACAACTCGAGAAAATGCCAACAACACAGAAGGTTTTGACAAAACCAAACCTTTCCCTCAGAGTGTTTTTTTGGTTGTTCGATGTGTTTCTGTTTTGTTGCTTTCCCGCAAAAACAATACATCCTAAAACATTGAGTGTTTGTAGTTTTTACTCCACCAACAAAGGAACTGAGGGAAAACCCAACAAAGCAAGAGCCACTTGAGAAAATCAACAAGCACAAGACGTTTGGCAACACTTGTCCAGAGTTGCTTGCTTTTATGAATGCGATGTGCTTGTTTTGCGCTTCATCGTCGTGATCTTTCCAGCAACATCTGCTAAACATTTTTTTTTGTAAACATTGTTATACAACATATGCTAGAAACTGAACATGGTTACACACTGTTTCAGAATTTGCGCAATGCAGTTCCAAAGCGGATCAATGCAGTTCCAAAGCGGATCCGATTTTGCTTGAACTGTTGTTCTCAAGACAGCAACCATGACAGCACAGTTTTTTTGACACTTGTTTGAGACCAGCAACAGAGGTAGTTCCCGGGGGGGAACACCAATATATATATATATATGTACATATATATATATATATGCATATATGACACATGACCGAATTAATGATGTATTACTCATTCGCCCTTTCTATGTTGTTCGGGAAGGGTGCTGATGCCATGATTCATTTTCCACATGAAGCCACCAGGTACTGTGGAGGACGTCTGCCAGAGGACGGTCTTTTGCAAGTTTCTTACCCTGAATCTACCTCTCCCCAGCTGGGCTTGGACTTGGGGCAGAGAAGTCCGTTTTCGGGCCGCATGTTGACCATGTTCGGCCCTTGCGCTAGGTGTGGGATCCCCTCAGACCTTCGTCAGTGTGCGGGTAGCAACCTTCTATCAAATTTTGTGTAGCCGATTCCAAATATGACACACTTGCCCCCCAAATAAGGTGGCGAGAGGACGACCAGGAACACAAGCAACACAAAAATATTCCGCCTATGAGCCCCTAATAAGGCCTTTGGCTCAGGGAATAGCTCCCCTGTGTGTCAAAATGTGGGGCTGGACCCCAAAAAGGTGGCTTTCCTGGTGCTTTCCTTTCTTCCAAGGTCCTTTAGTCTTGTAGGAAGCTGTGCTGGACCCTCAACATGGTCTACCTTGACCCTCAACCAATATGGGGTGATTTCTCTTTATTGTTTGTGTGTGCAATTCGAGGGTCCAGGAACCCAGTTTTTGGGGCAACCAAAAGGAACCGCATCTACTCTTTATGGCTCTTTGGTTTTTATCTTTGCACTTTAGCTTGTTTGGGACACAGCTCGGATGTTACCCAGACAAGTTGTGATTTTCACTTTCTGCGGAGGGGTCGTACCTGGCCAGGTTTTTTGTCGGGGTCGATTTGGCTGTGGGTCAAAAATAGGTACCCAAAATGGAACCGTGGTAAATGGAAACATGGACTAAAACCTGCGGTCCAATTCCTGGTGGTGACTAATTTTGACCCATACCGGAAACCATTGACATTGGACACCACCATCACCACCCAACAAATTCCAACCACTGTAGAGAACCCCCAATTTAGACACTCGCAATGATATTTTCGCTCCCAGGCCCCGGCTTTGCGGAGCTCTCGCTGCGGACCTGGAAGGTTCATTGGGACCTGGAGACTTTGGAGGAGGCGATCCTCCCAGTTGCCTGGCGGTGAACCACTTTTTCCATCGACTTTTGCTGGGGTAGACTTAGGATGCATTTTACATTTTACCAGTGACTCAAAGGGAAGCGAACAAAAGAATATACATTCTATAACTGGGCCTAAGTCTAATCATGTTAGGTTGGAAGGGTTCCGATTCCTTGAAACTCAACCAACAAAACAAAGAGGATGCGTTTTGTTTTTTTCCCATGGCCACCGGGCGTCTAAGTTTTGGAACCTCGTCTTTAGACACTTTTTGGGGGCCGTTTTGTGAATTGTTGTTTGCCCGTCCAACAGACATTCAACCTCAGGTCGTTTTTCCTGGAGGGAAGTCTTTTGGGAGGGTTCAAGGGGACACCAGGGAACACCAAGCGCCTGAAAGCGGTTCCAAATCTTTAGCAAGCTGCCGATCTGGGATGGTCGTCAAGCAAGTAAGTTGTTGTGGGGACATGGGATTCCTTCAAAAGCCATGCGGATCCCCGCATTGTCCCCCAGATTCATGTGTCAACATGGGGGTCGACCATTGTTTCCATTGTTTTCCCAACAAAAAACAAACAGCCAAACAGGCTACGCCAGTGTCAAGCTGGTGGTTTGCCTTCTGGTTTTCCTTTTAACAGGGCTCCTTAAAGGATACACTTTGTCCATTTGAAACATGGCTTTTTCCAGCAAAATAAATAAACACCACAATTTACAAGGCAATGTTCAGGATCCCTGTTTAAGCCAACCCCAAAACAGGTATCCCAAAAGAAGTGCAGCTCCATGTGCCCAGCGAGCTCTCCGCGGATTTTTGTCCGCAGACCATCGAAGAACGGCTGGCCGTGGCACTGCGGAACCACCGGGAGGCGCATGGGCCAGGGGGAAAGCCTTTGTTCCGCTGTTCTTTTTGTTTAAGGGGTGTTCCCTGAAAATAATATAACACATGGTGGACCTTTTAAAGGAGGGTTCCCTGAAAAAAGCAGACTACCAAAGAAGGGGGACCTTTTCTTTCCCATGGCGACTGCAGGTCTGGGTAGAAGGGGCTGAATATATCATTACGCATGATTTGCTTATCATGACTTGATTTGGTTTCAGGTACCCCACAACCCCATTCCAACTATGAGGCCCAAATAGCCCAAGCAGGAACACACTGGTAGATCTGACCTTTGCTTCCTTCTGGGACCTGTAGCCAACAAGCAAACAGGTGGACTAAGAATCCAGGTCGGCGTGAATCGCGGATCCGACTGTTCCACCTGCCAAAACGGGGCGCGCCTTGACCAGGGAATTGCACACCCTGCAGTGTCACACACACAATCCTTTTCCGATTCTAGGCCCAGACTTGGCTCATGTTGGCGGCACCCAATGCAAAGCTTCACTGTCGGCATGTATTGAGGCGCTTTGCTGTTTTGGTTTCGTTCACTTAGAGGGAGCTTTAAACTTCAAGACAAAGTTTGACGATACTATGGATTGGGAGGAATGGAATCAGAGTTGATTCTGCAATCATCAATCGGCTCGAAGAGTCTCAATCGGCTCGAAGAGTCTGAGTGTTTCTCAACGCGTCGTTCCCTATGCCTATTTTCCTATTGTACCACTAGATACCACGTATGATCAATCTGCAAGACAAGAGTCTTTCGATCTGGTCCTCAAGTGCCATGCGGGAAACCATTTTCCGGTGAGTCCTCGGCGAAAGGTCGCACGCACACCCTGGGGTGCTCTCAGGGGTTGGTCCAACTGAAGCCAGCAGCAGGATTCTACTGGTAGGTCTAGTGCTTAGGTTCCATGCTGGTCGGAATGTATCTGACCAGCGGTCCCCAATATTGTAGTTTCACCACCGTAAGTTATGAGTCTGCAATATGCCGCTGCATTCGCGGACGACATGTATAGGCCCCTCACTCCCTGTCCATTGAGGATTGTGGGCCAGACACCATTGTATATTAGCGCAGGAGGCCATTCCAGAATCAGGCGCGCTTTCTCTAAAGGAGGCCGTTCTTATCGTGTAGCATGATGAGAACGCCAAAGGAAGTGCAACCAATAACATGTATATATATATATGTATACATGTATACATACATACAAACATACATACATACATACATACATACATACATACAAACATACATACATGCATACATACATGCATACATACATACATGCATGCATACATACATACATACATACATACATTGACATACATTGACGTACATTTACATACATTGACATACATACATACATACATACATACATACATACATACATACATACATACATACATACATACATACATACATACATACATACATACATACATACATACATACATACATACATACATACATACATACATACATACATACATACATACATACATACATACATACATACATACATACATACATACATACATACATACATACATACATACATACATACATACATACATACATACATACATACATACACATACATACACACACATACATACATACATACATACATACATACATACATACATACATACATACATACATACATACATACATACATACATACATACATACATACACACATACATTGTTATACATTGACATACATTGACATACATTGACATACATTGACATACATACATACATACATACATACATACATACTTACTTACATACATAGATGCATAGATGCATAGATACATAGATACATGGATACATGGACACACAGATACACAGATACATAGATACATAGATACATACATAGATACATAGATACACAGACACATAGACGCATAGACACATAGACACATAGATACATAGATACATAGATACATAGATACATAGATACATAGATACATACTACATACATACATACCTACCTGCCTACATACATATATACATGCATGCATGGATACGTACGTACATACCTACCTGCCTCCCTACCCTACCCTGCCCTACCCTACCCTAGCCTACCCTAGCTACCTACATACTTACATACTTACGTACTTGCGTACTTACGTACTTACATACTTACATACATACATACATACATACATAAGTAAATGAACAACACAATAAACCCACACATGAATGATATACGCATATATATATATATGTGTATGCACATGTTCGTCTGATATGTTCTTCTACCTGACCTATATGCATACGCATTTTCCGATGCTCGACTCCACAATCGCTCGCGTCAGCAACCTTCTATATTCTTAAGACATACAGAGGTTAGCTGGGTGTTCCAGTTGCTCACTTTCAAAGCTAACCTTACACTAGCTGGACCAAGCAAAGTGACCAAGCCAACTGAACAAAGCTGACTTAACTCGGCTAACTCAACCGCGCTGACTCAACTGGCTTAACTTATTGCCATCATGTTTGCGCTGTAGGCCATTCTCTTTTTGACGCAGGCGCTGGGCTTGAAGACTGTCATGGACCAGCATGTGGTGCGCCAGCATTGATTCTGCGCTGGTGCTTGTCGCGGTTTCCTGCTTTTCCCCCTTTGGGGTGGGTTTCAGACATCATCTTCTCCCAATTCAAAGTGAGTTCATTGTTGGCGGGGTGACGTTGAAAAAGGGAATGCAGGAAGCCCTGTTACATCGGGGCAGAGGTGGCAATTCTGTATTGGCCACTTGTGCGGAAGTGTTGAGAGAAGTCGCAGTGAACGATGCTTGGCTGAATCACTTTTCCCTTCTCCTCAAGTGTGTCTGTCGGGCCTGAGTGAAGCAAGTACAACTCCAAGCAATTGCGAGGTGACAATGGCTCCCCTTGCTATGGCCCTTGTTTGGGTTGTTCAAAGGTGATCCTTAACCCTTACCTTGGGTTCCGCGATGCACCGGTCATGAACCGGTCCCCTTCGTAGTGGCTGCCCTATAGGGATTATGGAAAATCGGATTGGCCAAGCCTCCATTTTGGACAGGCTTGCTTGTGGCTCTGCCTCAGAGTCCCCACTCCTCGTTTTTCGCGGAGACGGAAGCGTCCAGGCTGAGCTGCTGCATGTGGCGCTGGTGAATTTGGAGCCGGGTCCCTGCCTGACCTCTAGCTTTGGTGGATACCAATCAGCTCAGTTCCTCAGAAGGGACTCCTTTGCTCTTCGTTTTGGTCTTCCTTTTTTGGTCCATGAGGCATTTGAGGCATGGCACCAAAAGGCTTAGCCCTTTGTTTCCAGGCCCTTTGGGCAAGTGAGTTGAGCGCTTCGAGCCTGTTTTGCGCGGGCTTTGCCGGGCACTTGAGGGTATAGCCTAACCACAGCACCTGCTTACCCGCTGTGACCAGCGGGCATTTGGGAATCATACGAGGCTGCCGTTTCAGCTGCGTTTGGTTGATTCCAGGAAAGCATGCGCAGCGCAAATCGTTTGCTTCACAACAAAAGAGCTATTTCTGGCACCCGAAAGGAAGCCAGCCATTTACACTGGCCTATGTGTTGGCCCGATACATTCCTTTCACTTAGTTTTGGCAGTTTTTCGGGCGCCCCAAAGAAGATTCCCTGGAAAATGGGCTAGGGACTGAGTTCATGGAGCGTCTTGAGGTCCGAGCGAAGAGGCATGCCATCACAGGCGGGGGACTTCGTGTGAGCTGTGTGGCAGGTGTGCTATGGGGACGCTTGGTTTTTTCGTGCTGTGTTTTTTGCTTCTCATTTTGTCTAGTCATTGCACGATCATTAGACAAGGTGGATGTCATGACTGCAAAGGCAAGTGGCTATTTGTTGCCTTGCTTGTGCCTGGCAGGTAGTTTGATCTGGTGTTGGCTCACATGAGCAGCGGCCAACGTGAGTGATGAAACCGCATCGTCGTTCGATTGCATGTTCAGATGTGGGTATCGCTTTGGGGCGGGCTGTTGATTCTGCACTGAGAGCCAGCAAAACTGCGAAGCAAAAAGTGGCACTCGTCAAATGCTGGCTCCCAGTGTCGAGCCAAGAGGTGGACCATTACGGAGCTAGGGGTATATCCAGATTTGCCCTTGAGGGAGCCTTTCGGAGCTACCAGGAAAAATGTAAGGAAGTGGTAGTCATTTCGATCCTCAGGGCTAGGCATCGGGCTTGTAGGTTGTTCGGCAACATGTAACAGGGTTCCTGAAAAGATACATTTTGCCCACTTGAAACATGGCTTTTTCCACCAACATACAGGGAATCCACCATTTACAAGGCAATGTTCAGGTGTATAATGTAAGGATGCCTGTGTAAGCTCTTTGCCAGGCCTCCGTGTTTGAGGCTTTGGCCGGCAGAGTGCCGGCCTCAGGCGAGAATTTCTTCTTGGGGGTACCCATTTATTTTGATTGCTATTGGGCTGGATCTGTAGAGGTTAACTTTTTGGTTGAAATCAAGGGTTGTCCATTGAACCCACGGAAAGTTAAACATTTTTTGCGGAGGGGGGCAACAGATTGGTTAAAGGGAAGCCAAATGGACAACCATTCATTTTGCGGGTCCTGAATTTAAGACACACTCTCGAGCGCTGAGTAGACGTTTCCTGGTCCATTCATCATTGAATCCAAAAAGGGTTGATCAAGCTGCAGCAGTAAAGTACGCGCATTCAACTATGCTCCGGGTGCCGGCTTTTCTGCTGTCCAAAGGCATCTTCTGCTTGACCAAGTCTCCACCAATGCAGCATGTGCCGATCAGGGCCGAGAGATAGCTACGCAAAACCATCCTCTCGAAGCAGACAAGCTTTGGCGTTTCGGGGTTGAACCAATGGCTCTTGGGCATCAACTCAAGGACAAGAAGCAGGAATCAGGAGAGACCCATGGCATCCAAAGCAAGGAGGCAGAAAGCACACCGCACATCTCACCGGCAAAAGAGAGGTCTGTCGGAACCGAGGTCTGCAGGCCGGGGGAGGTGCTGAGGGCCACGCCAGGCTCTCAGATTTCAAATGAGAAGACGGAAAGGGGGCGGACCCCAACCCAGCTTCTTGGAGATGGTTTCCGGGGTTCTATCTGAGTTGGACAGATTTTTTTCCATCTGATTAGACATTTGCGAGAGCTTTGCTTCTGATCCCGAAGCATTTTGCACAAGGCTCTGCTTTTTTGTCCAAAACAGCGGGACCTGGTTCCCAGACGGTCGGGCACGGAGCCCATCGCTAAAAAAGCATGGGATAGGAGACCCTTCAAGAGGATGTTTGCACCTGGGTTTTGGTCGGGACTTGTTTGTTGCAGCCTCCCTTTTGCTTGGTGGTTCCTCGCCGTCTGGTTCCTTAGTTGTGTTTTAGGCTTTTAGGGTTTAGTGGTTTCCATTTGACCCACAAGACAACAACTTTTTGCGGGGTTGTTGGACAGAGGCTTAGGCTTTCATAGTAGACCCTTCCAGATCTTACGAGCTCGTCGCCACGGCACCCCGACCTCCCGCGTGCTCAAGTGAGGCCCGTGCAGTTCAACCACCTCCGGGTGGGGGGCCTGGTCGCGAGCACCTGGCTTTGTATCCCAAGGATTCGTGCATGCAACTACGCGTACATATTGAAGACCTATTATACACAAGACGTTCATGTACGCATGTCATGCACAAACAGATACGCGCGCGTTGATTTGTTTTATGCATCTCATTGCTTTGTGATGCTCTGCCTTCATTTGGCAGGGTGCTTTGTCTACCCGGGAAATGCATCTGACCAAGGATCTTCAAACCTGACAGCCTGGGGAGCACCTGCCCTTTGCCCATTCTTTTTTCGCAAGATTGGGCCACACCAAGCGGAAATTGTTGGTTTCTGAAGAGACATTTCTGAGCTGGGGGGAGTCCAAGCATTTTTCAGACTGCAAAGAGCCCAAGAGCAACCTACTCACGTGCCGGGATCCCAAATTTGGAGCCAAATCAGTCTCTTGCCCCAAAACCGTTCATCGGATGCGGATTTGGGCGAGGTCTCCTTGTTCTGGCCGGCGCTGAGTGATCGGCCCACGGTGCGGGAGGCGAGGTCTGGGGGATGTGCTGCCTGCTGGTATCGCAAGTCGATGTTTCGCCTCCGGTCGGTTCACTTGCTGGTGCGAAAGATGCAGGGAATGAGTGGGAATGACTCCTTGTAAACCATCCAACTGGTGGTTTTTTTAAAGGGGACCCCTGTGTTCATTCCCACATTCCCTACCTGTCGCACCAGCAAGTTCAAGCCCGAAGTAATGCCAGCCGCTCGTTGAATTGCTGCGGGTGATGTAAATGATGTTTCGTTACTAAACCTCTACGATATACTGTAACACTGGATCAGGATATACACATGATATGACAGCAGGACGAAGCAAAGCAATTCAATAGGGAGAAGAGGTAGGGCCCCAAACCCCTCAGGTTCTCACAATCCTTCTAAGAACCCTGAAAAGAAGTTTCTCAGAGTGGGTGGGTGGAGTGGGGGGCTTTGGTTTCCTCGTTATTGCAGCAAAGCCACACCTTGCACCGTTTCTCTGGGATTTAATGTGACACATGTTGTTGTATACGTCTATTATATATATATATATATACATATATATATATATATATAATATATATATATATATGTATATATTATATATAATATTATGTATAAATAGATGTAGAGGTATGTTCTAACATTGTTACACGTGCAGATGCAACTCAAAATAATACGCACGCGTATAAGCAAAACTAAATAAATAATTCAACGAACTGAAATGATCAATGAAATGGAATGGAACGGAATGGAACGGAATGGAACAGAATGAAATGGAATGTAATGGAATGGAACGAACGAATGAATCCTCCCCCTCCTCCCCATGAGAGCTGGTCCGCCCTGGTCGGATCGCCAGGTCCTAGCCCAGGCTGCGCACAGCTTCGCGGTGCGCTGCCGCGTGGTGCTTCTGCCGGAGGGCGCGAAGAGCGTTTGGGCGCCGCCGGCGCGTTTTGTTGGGGTTTGTGCTATCCCCGGCAAGGAACACAGGGCTCTCCAAGTCTAATTGGGTTGGGTGTCCCCGTTTTTCAGCCCCCCCCCAAAAAAAAAAGAAGAGAAGAAGCAAACAAACAGGATCTTTGTTTTGCCTTTTTTCCTTCACAGCAAGCCCAAAAAAGGGCCTCAAAAACGACACGCGTGGTTGGAGCCTGTTGTCTGATTCAGAGCCATGGGAGGGTTGACCCAATGCCCAGGTTGCAAAATGGACCCTGCAACAACCTCCTTTTGGGGTATGTGTTTCGGCCCAGAAAATGATATCTATCCATGGCACGGGGAGGGGTGTGCGTGCGGGGCCGTTTAGTCCACCTTCCGTGCGTTGACCCAGTCTTCTGTTAAAGGGGGTCCCCTTTCAATCGTGCCCCCAAAAAAGGAGCCATCAACACGCAAGACAGGGAGTGGCTCATGTTGAAAAGACTTGGCTTCAAGTGTCTCTGGGAGGCGCAAACATGGGTCCCTGGGATCGATGCAGGAAAAACAAAACCCCGAAGCAGGGCCCGGAAAACTTGGCGGCTTGCAGGTTCTCAAGGCAAACGCACGACCTCGAGCTGGGGATCTGAGCACAGCACAGATTCCTCGAATCAACCAGCATGGCTGGGTTTTTGGGCTTCAGTTCAACGCAGAGACAGGTGGAATGGTGGATGCCCGGGTGGGCAACGGTGATGTTTCTTGATTTGCTTGGTGAACCACTGGATTTTCCCCTGAGACGAGGCGTGCCTCGTTACCATTGAAGCAAACGCGCATCCGGACTAAACCGTTGCTGTGGCCCAGCCAAAACCAATCCTTGGGTGAAGAGTGGCAGAGGGGCATCAGGTGGGTGTCAAAAGATGGGACCAAAAGTGGAGATGGACCATCCCAAAGGGCAGGGGTGCCATTTTTGGTTGACTTGGACAATGGGTGTTTCCTGGTTTACCTGGTTCAATCAATTACCAGGGAATCCCATCGATTTGCCCCAAAAAGGACAACTATCCCAGGCTTTGGCTTTCGACCTTCCGCAGGCCATGAAGCTCACTCCCTTTCCCTCGGCTTTGGACTTGAGCCGATTGCTTTTTGGGGTGGGACCATTTTGGTGGGAAACAACAAGTTGGGGTACTTATTCTGGCCAATGCGCTCAGGAAGTGCGAAAGGGTCTGACTTTGGTTTTGAAGTCCAACTTTGCGCCAGGTGCTGCTTGCAGCGAAGGGTCGCGCCTAGTCAGGCTTGTCCAACGCTTTTCGTCCCAGGGTTTGTCACAGCCCGGCTCTGGAAGCAGCGAAGGACTTGTAGGGGAAGGTTTTGGTGAACGTTACAGTGCGGCGGGTTTGCTTGCACAGATTCGTGCCTTGGACAAGCCTAGCGGGATCTGCCCGAGAATTCGGGTGGGGCTTCCGCAGGTGTGGGGAGAGCCTGCAAGTGGAAAAAGATGGGCGGGAGTGGGCTGGTGCCAAATACCCAACTAGGCGCTGCATGCCGGCCTTGGGGGAATGCGACTGAAACAAAAAGCAAGTAAGTGTAGTGCCCGACCCTGGCTTCTTTTCATTTTGCACTGTTGCATTCAGCGCTTTTTGGCTCATACGCGCTTTGCGCACGCGTGACCCGTGTTTTGTTGGAACATGACCCATGTCTTGTAACGCAGTGATGGAATTGCTGATATTCATGTCCGGGGCGATTGTAGCTTTCATTCATGTGCCGCATGCCAGAAGTCTCAGCTTCGCGGCAACGTCAGCATCTCACCTGGTGTGTTGCCATGGCAGCGCCTGACAATGACGGCATGGCGGTTCCTGTGCTGCAAGGTTCAGTCGTCCATTAGCACGACCCTTTTGTTGCAGTTGTCGCAGTTCTGCGTTTGGTACTTCGATGCTTTTCAGCTGTTCATCGACTGCCCCTTTTCAGTGAAAGCCGCCATCCAGTTTTGAAGGACTTGCGCTTGATTTGGTGCGGTTTTGTCTGTGGTCACTTGCTCATGCCGAGCTCCTAGGGGAGTACCCAGAGCCCCTTGATCTGGGTGGTCTTTCAGGGCGCCGTTTGGGGCAACGGGAAGCCAACGTGGAAATCCCCAGCCGCATTTGAGGCTGCTTGTGCAGCTCTGGTTGGCTTCTGGACAGCTTGGAGAGACTCCGGAGGAGGCTGGAGCTGGTCAGACATTCATTTTGCCTCAAAATTCACCGACGTGGGATTCAACCAGTAAATGTGTGTGTGTGTGTTTACATATGGGGGTTGATTAATGTTCCTGGCCTCAAAATGACCACAGGTAACTTTTTCCCATTTTAAAGTCATTTTTTCGGTACCCCATGTAAAGGACCTTTTGATCAACCCCCATAACTGGGAGTTGGGAATGGTTGTTCCAAGC